GTCCATAAGATTGTTTCTGTTTGTGATTGTTTTATTTTTTACGGGTGCTCCTGTATTTGGTGTGTAGACATTTATAATTGTTAGGTCTTCCTGATGGATAGACCCTGTAATTATTATATAATGCCCTTCTTCATCGTTTATTACTGCCTTTACTTTAAAGTCCAGTTTGTCTGATATAAGTATAGCTAGTCCAGCTTTCTTTTGACTTCCAGTAGCATGATATATATTTTCCATCCCCTTACTATCAATCTGAAGGTGTCCTCAGGTCTAAAATGAGTTTCTTGTAGACAGCAAATAAATGGATTTTGTTTTCTTTTTTTTATGCATTCTGCTACCTTCTGTCTTTTGATTGGAGCATTTAGTCCATTTACATTCAGTGTTATTATTGAGAAATACGGGTTTTGAGTCATTGTGTTCTTTGTAGGATTCATGCTTGTGGTGGTGTCTCTGGTACCTTGTGTTCCTTGTAACATTTCCCTCACAGAGTCCCCCTCAGGATTTCTTGTAGGTCTGGTTTAGTGGTGACAAATTCTTTCAATTTTTGTTTATGTGGGAAAACCTTTATCTCTCCTTCTATTCTGAATGACAGGCTTGCTGGATAGAGGATTCTTGACTGTGTCTTTTTTCTGCTCATCACATTGAAGATTTCCTGCCATTCCTTTCTAGCATGCCAAGTTTCAGTAGATAGGTCTGTAACCACTCTAATAGCTTTCCCTTTGTATATTAGGGCCCTTTTATCCCTAGATGCTTTCAGAATTTCTCTTTGTCCTTATATTTTGCCAGTTTCACTATGATATGTTGTGCAAAAGATCGATTCAAGTTATGTCTGAGGGGAGTTCTCTGTGCCTCTTGGATTTCAATGTCTTTTTCCTTCCCCAGATTGGAGACGTTCTCTGCTATAATTTTTCAAGGACTCCTTCAGCGCCTTTCCCTCTTTCTTCCTCTTCTGGAATTCCTATGATACAGATATTGTTCTGTTTGATTGTATCGCTCAGCTCTCAAACTCTCCTTTTGTGTTCCTGGATCATTTTCTCTTTTTCTCAGCTTCCAATTTTCTATAATTGTGTCTTCTAACTCATCTATTCTTCTTTCTGCCTCTTCAGTCCGTGCATTGGATGCCTCCGTTTCATTATGTGTCTCATTTATAGCACTTTTAAATTCATGACAACTATTTTTAAGATCCATTAGTCTTTGTAGCAGTAGTTTCTCTGATGTTTTTGATGCCTTTTTCAAGCCCTGTGATTAATTTTATGACTATTGTTCTAAATTCTTATTCAGTTATGTTGCTTATATCTGTTTTTTTTTTTTTTTTAATTTATTTCTAGGAGAGAGAGAGAGAACGTGAACAGGGGAGGATTAGAGAGAGAGAGGGAGACACAGACTTTGAAATAGGCTCCAGGCTCATTTCTTCCCGGAATTTCTTTAGAGGATAGTTCTTCCGTTTTGTCGTTTTGGCTAGCTTTCTGTCTCTTGTTAGTTTTTTTTTTTTTTTTTTTTTTTTATTTATTTTTAGGAGAGAGAGAGAGAGACAGCGTGAGCAGGGGAGGGTCAGAGAGAGAGGGAGTCACAGACTGAAACAGGCTCCAGGCTCTGAACTGGCAGTCAGCACAGAGCCCAACGCGGGGCTTGAACCCACGAACCGTGAGATCATGACCCAAGCGAAAGTCGGACGCTCAACCGACTAAGCCACCCAGGCGCCCCTGTCTCTTGTTAGTTTTAAAAGCTTGTTATGCACTCTGCACCTGCACGTACTGCTGTATTAAAGAAGGCTCTGTGACCGTCCAGGCCCTATCCATTGAGGAGTCTTCTTCAAATGGTGTCTTTTGGTCTCTCTCGTTGAGACTTTGGTTATTTTATTTCTCTACTCGTAGTGGTATTTGTGACTCTCCACCATGTGTACTTCGGCTTGTTTCTTGAGGTAGCCCTGGAAAAGAAAACAGACAAACAGGGAACAAAGGCACACAAATGCACAGACAAATCCAACAAGGAAGCAAACTGAAAGGGAAAAAGAAAAAGGGGAAAAAAGGAGGAAAACAAATAATAAAAAGATAAAAGAAGAAAAAAGAAAAAACCCAAAAGACAAAGGACAGTCTAAAGCATAAAACCTGAATTCCCAGCTACAAATAAAGAACAGGGTGTATGCACTGCTGATGGAAGAGCAGATACAAAGAGAGAAATGACAGGGTGAGGAGGAAGCAAAATTGGATAGTAACCAGGCAGAGAGACTCAGAGAGAGAAAGAGGAGAATATGGTAAGAGGCGAGGAGAATAAAATAAAGATAATGTTACTCAGAGAAAGTATATAGTCTGATGACTCCAGAGAGAGAGAGAGAAAGGTAGCGGTGGACGTGTAGAATGTACATCTAGAGAATGGACTAAATGTGACTGTTGAAGCAAACCAATGACTAGAGTGCCCAGTCCAGCAAGAGGGGAGGTATATGAATGAGACAAGGGAAAATATATCTGGATAGAAAGAATTGATCTAGAATTAATCATGGCAGTGCATCCATGTTGGTCTTGCCCTGGGATCTGGTAAAAAAAAAAAAATAAATAAAAAAGCAGTTCTCTAGTGGGGATGGGAGTGGTTTGGTGTAGGCGGGTCTTAGCCTTCACTGAGTCCTGCAGGCTGCTCCCTGATGTCCCGCCTTGGAGGTTTTGGGGAGAAAAATGGCGGTGCCCGAGTCCCCTCTAGAACCAAGCATTGCAAGTCACTCTTTCGGGTCCAATCTCCCTGTGCCGGGGTTGTAGCCAAGGTGGGCTGTGCTGTATGTCCCAAGCCACGCCTCGTTTCCAGATCTTAGTCCGCACCCCACTGATACCGCCGAAATATAAACCTGCAGGCCGAGTCCTTCTGAGCAGTTTTAAGCCTGCCACTTCCCCACTGGGGATCGAGCCGGAAGAGCGACGGAGCGGTTTCAGGCCGCCGCTTCCCCTCCCGATGGACCTGGAGAGCAGAGGAGCAGTTTCTCTTGGCGCCGCCTGGGACGGGGAGTCCAGCTCAAAGTCAGTTTCACAGCTGGAAACCGATCACTCTCTGTCCCGAGCCAAGGTTTTTCTCTTCTCCACTCCAGGGACAGTTTCTTGAGCAGTTTCAGCTGCTCTTTCTTTTCCCCTCGAATCACCGTGGCTCCCCCCAAAGGGGGCTCCCTCCCCTCCCTCCATGTCTCCCGGTCCCGGCCTGTTTTAATCTTCCCCATTTCGCACTCAGGCACCTATACGGTGGTTTTCTCAGCAGACTCTGTCTCCTTTTCCTCCCAAACTCCCACGATTCTGTAAGGGTTCTTACGGCTTCAGGCCTTCTCTGTTTGAGAGATGGGGCGAGTGAAATATATGGAGCTCCCTACTTCTCTGCCATCTTGCCTCTTCCCAGCCCATTACAATTTATTTATTTTCTTATAGTAGTAATAAATTTTTTACTCCATTTATTTTTGAGCCACAAAGCATGAATTATTTATATTGGCATGATGTGTGAAATGGGTCTCTGATATCATCTTTTTTTTCACATGGTAGCCAGTTGTGTCATCAGTATTTATTGATTAATCCATGGGTAGTTTTTTTGGGAGTCATCAGTATAGCAGGGGGAGCAGATGGACTCACTTAGGAGTATATAATTGAGTGAGAAAGGAGAGCCTAGGCCTAAGTCTTGAAAGAATCCCAGAATATCAATTTTTGTTTGAGGAGGATGAGCCAACACAGGAGGAGGAGCATTAGCCTGGGGACTCAGGAAGTGAGTATCTCAAGTGAAACGGAGAGGCTGGCCTAGTGGAAGCCCACTGAGAGGTTCAGTAAGGTGGGGACTGGGAGTTGGTGATCAGATCCAACCACACGGGTGTCACAGGGACCTGGTGACTGCTGTTCAGTAGAGCGGTGAGGCAAATGCTACGTTCAAGCAGGTTCAGAAGGGAGTGAGAGGTGGGAGATGACAGATGGTGACAGTTGTTTCAGGAAGCATATGTGTGAATGGTGGGAGAGCAAGGACCCCTGTGAAGGAGTTTTTTAAAGGTAGAAATATTTACATGCTTGAGTGCTTGTAGGAAGGATCCAAAGAGGGTGAGGCAGAGGCAACAGTGAAGGAGGAGATGATCAGTAGTAGAAAGGTCCCAAGAAGATGGCACAGGACTTCAATCTGAGACAGACAGACCTGCTTAAAGTATGAGAGACTGTATGTTGCAGCAGAGGAATGGAGGCAAGAATGGGGATAGAACTGTCTGTGTTCATTTCTTCTTGTCTTTAAAGTAGCCATAGGTTAAGAACTAATGATAACGGTAGGGTGGACAGTGCCGGTTAGGTCTAGCAGAAGTTAAGGTCACGTCACTGAGTCGCAGGCTGAAGTAAAGGTGGGAGGACCATATTGCAGATCCAGAGATCATCCTGTCTGGTTCCAAATTAGGACCTTTGACTTAGCTGCTGTATGGGGTGGGGCTGGGTGGGGAGACTTGGGGAGGTTGGGGCCTAGGGTCAAGCTTTTCACAGCTTGTTGCTTTTCCTCCCCCTCCCACCTTCCACTTGGGCTCCAGCCATGGCCACATTACTGTTGGCACATGTTAGATACTCCAAACCCACTGATGTTCCATACCAGCTCCATTCATTCTGATCCCTATTGGAGCTCTCCTCTGAGCAGTCTTTGAGCCTGTGGCTTGGAGCTTAAGGATAGATTGTCCAGGGACTGGTTTCTATTGCTCTTAACTTCTCAGGGACATCCAGCCTCCTGTAATCCCAGTGGAGATTTTTTTTTTCCCTAAAGCAGGTTCATGCACAGCGCAGCACCCAGCACTGAGCTCGAACTCTCAACTGTCAGATCAAGACCTGAGCCAAGATTGAGTGGGATGCATAGCTGACTGAGCCACCCAGGCGCCATGGGGAAATTTTTTTGATAGAACCTCTACATTGGAAATTACTGGGACAGTTCAGAGGCAGAGGAGATAATTCTACACGGGCTTTCTGGCCCTCTGCTTTCTCTTTCTCTTCCTTTGCTCTGGTCCTAAACATTGTTTTCCACAGGGAGACACACACTTGCCTGATTCCAATGACTCCTGGATAGGGGATGTTCGGGCCCATTCTACAGTGAGGAACAGTCAAATGAGTCTGGCCAGATCCACCTGGAAGAGCTTAGCTTACAGTGAGTGGCGGGGGTGAGGGCACACAGCTACCTGCCCCGTTTGGGAACTTGTGGGGCGGAGGTCTGCCAGATCCTACAGAGTCACTAGCCTGAGGTTATCAGCCCCGAGTCACTGTTCCTCAGGAGGCTGTTGCTGCTCTGAAGCGTTGATGCTCATGCTGTCTCACGGCCTCTGCCTGTTCACTGCAGGCCGCAGAACCTCCCTGGGCAGCTGCTGTTGCTCTCCGTCCAGCCTGGGGGCCTGCTTCTCCTCCTCCTATCAGGATTTGGCCAAGCACATCGTGGACATCTCTATCGCTGACGTGAGGAGCGATTCCACTTGTCCCCGTGGTTCCTTTGCCAGCCCTCTGCCGGGTGGGGAGGGAGGGGAGGGAAAGAGCAGGGTAGATGAGGGCCAGCTTCCTTCAGATGAGGGTGGGGGCTTCTTCGGTGGCTCTGCATCTTGACAGAAGGGGAATTCAGCAAACACTGGCCTGAGTGGCCGACTAACCCAAGAGTCTGCTTTGTACTTTGCCCGCTCAGTCGCTCACTCGGGTGTGATCCCTGTGTCCGCAGGTAATGGCTGCCTGCTCAGATAATCTGCACAACCTCTTCAGGTGCCAGCCAGCAGCCGGCTGGAAGTAAGTTTCTTTGCAGCATGTTATCCTAACCTGTTGTCCTCTTTCCTCCTTTACCTTCTGTGCCCTGGCTTGAGTCCTTCCCCCTGACCTGCCCCTCTGTGACCCAGGAACCCAGTCCTCACCTCTTCTTCCTCTTCCTACCCTTGGTGTCCCCAGCTATCAGGGTGAGGAGCAGGAGGTGCAGCTTTACTACAAGGTGTTTTCTTCTACTCGGCATGGCTTCCTGGGGGCAGGCGTGGTTTCCCAGCCACTGTCTCATGTGTGGGCAGCTGTGAGTGACCCCACCCTGTGGCCCCTGTACCATAAGCCCATCCAGACAGCGAGGCTGCATCAGCGGGTGACCAACAGCATCAACCTGGGTGAGCCCAGGGAGGGCTTCCTGGGGGCCCGGGCCAGGGGATGGGGCAGCAACGGCTGGAGGCTGCCCTCTTGGGAGGCCAGGTGCTCAGGCGACCTCTGGGTGGCTCAGGCTAGGTCCGTGTGTCGGGTTGCAGAATGACTGGATATTGGCGGGCATTCCTGGGCTGGGAAGGATTTAGGACTAGGTCTGTCCATGTACCTCCTGACTCTCCCCATTCCTGACCTCCCAGTATACTTGGTGTGCAATACCGCCCTGTGTGCACTGAAGCAGCCGCGGGATTTCTGTTGTGTCTGCGTGGAAGCTAAAGAGGTGCCTGCCTTGCCTGGGGTAAAGATGCTGTGGGAAGCACTTGGGCTGGAGTGCCACGAAAGGCAGTCACTGTGGGCACCGGGTCCCGTGGGGAAAGGAGGGCGCGTTGGGTGGGGATGAGGATGGCGTGAAGTCTGTCTGGCCGCACTGGAGCCTGTCCCGGTTTGATCCACCTCACTCCCTCTCCCCAGGGGCACCTGTCTGTCATGGCGGCTCAGTCTGTTTATGACACATCCATGCCGAGACCCAGCAGAGACATGGTCCGAGGGGAGATTCTGCCCAGTGCCTGGATCCTGCAGCCTCTCACCGTGGAAGGAAAGGAGATCACCAGAGTCATCTACTTGGTCCAGGTGATCCTCCCTGTGCGGCTGGCACACCTCAGTGTACCCCACCACCCCATGGGAGTTTTCTATTCAGCCACTCAACACCCTTCAGTGCCCAGGCCCCACGTCCCCAGAGCTGGAGACTCAGGCTTCTTGGGCCACAGTGCAGGGAATCAATCAGTGGGGAACAGAGGGCAGAGGAGGGGAGACAGAGTCAGTCTCCTCTAAAGTTGCTGTTACCAAAGAGCTCAGTGGCCTTTAGACCCTCTGCTGCTGAGTCCTCTGGAGATAGTCACGGTGAGGCAGGAGAGCAGCCTCAGCAGAGCAGAGAAAGCAGGACTCATTCTATTGGTTCTCCACTCCCAGTTCCCCACTGTGACCTTTCTCACCAGGAGGTGAAGCTCATCCTTAGATCTGAACAGCAGAGCCCAGGGGCCTGTAAATTTTGGGACTGCAGATAGTCAGAGGACCTTTTGTCAGACAGCCTTGGGTGGCTACCTGTGGCAGACATGTGACCTGATGTGTTCTCCCTGTCTGTACACACCTTTAACTCTTCCTTCTCCGCTTTATTTCAGGTAGAACTTGGTGCGCCGGGCTTCCCCCCTCGGCTCCTAAGCTCCTTCATCAAACAGCAGCCACTGGTTATAGCCAGACTGGCTTCCTTCCTTGGGAGTTAGCATCTTACTGTCAAGATGGTGCTGCAGAGACACAGGTGCAGGACACGCCAGTGATTCTAGGGTGGCTCTTGTCATTCTCTGCACAGCAGATAGTACAAGGCTACTGGCTGTGGCTGACCAGGCCGACAGCACTCAGACCTGAGTTGCCAGCAAAGTCCTGTCAGTACTTGGGTCACAGCTGGTGCCTCTGCAGAGCGGGAGGACCTGAGCTCCTGCCCCTAGCTGGCCAGCATCAGTGAAGCTCAACTCACCTTTTTGGATTCCTCAACCTTTCTTTTCTCTCTGGGATGCTGTGGCAGATAAGCCACTTGAAGACCAGGACTGGGAGCAGCTGGCAGAGCCAGGAGAGGGCAGTACTCTGGCCCGGCCTCAGGCAAGGAGGGAAGCAAGCAGCGTTGGCCAGGACTGTTCAGAATCTGTCTCCAGCATTCAGCTCCACTGCGGACTGGAGTGCTGCAAAGTGCCAAACTAGAAAAACGGTTTAAAAAAACAACTGCACAAACCATGACAGTGATTCAGAATCGTTTCTCCTTGTATTTTTACAACATGCTTTATTATTAATTTTCACTTTTTCCCCTTCATTTCCCTCACAGGAGAGGACATTTGGGTCTTTGCCTCAGTCAGGAGTATTGAGCAGTGCTCAGTCTTGGAGCCATCACTCCAGAGCCCAGGAGAAAGGGAAAGAGCACTGTAGAAGCACGTTGGACAGATTTGAGGCCAAGGAGGGGAACTTAGCTCTTTGAGGAGGGGTGGGGTGGGCAGCCCAGTGTTGACTGCTGACAGGGCAAGAGTAATTTCAAAGAGGTGAAAATTGTTTATTGAAGACTAGAGAGAAGATATGACAACTCTTAGAGGAGGTAAGTGACTTATTAGGAGGAAAACTCAGTTCTGTTCCTCCCCTCCCTCAGAGCCTTGGTGCCAGCCTTCAGTGGTCTCTCGAGCATCCGTGCTGCTGTGGTCGGACGTGCTATTCTAAGTGGGGATGGGGCATGGGCTCGGTGTTCTTGTCCCTTAGCCTGCCTAAACTTGAGCTTTGAGTATTCAGTATGGTTATGTGGAAGTGGTAGGGTGGGAGAGACTCCCAGCTTTCATTCTGGTGCCCACAATTTTTGGTGGAAGAGGCTGACCATATGGGGATTGAAAAAGGTCAGTTTCTATACTGTACAGCAGAGATTTATTTTTTCTAAAAATGTTTGCAGGATTTTTTTTTTTTTTTATACCTCAGATTGTTACTTATATGTGATTGGTTGAAGGCATTTTAAATTGCTCTTGAACATATTTTTCTGGTTAATTTTTTTGGTATATTTAACACCCTATTTATGTCCTCCCTTCCATCTCTTTGCATATAAATCTCCTGACTTTTTCAATCAATAGTCTTAACACTTGCAAATTAAAGGTCCATGGTGTCCTTTTATTTAGTGACCACTGCGGGTTCTTTGAGCTCAGAATTTAGTCTGGAGACTATGATGGCAGCAACAGCCCAGGGCCCAGTTTCAAGCTATACAGTTGACACAAATGTACTGAGTTCTTCCCATGAGCTCAGCACGACCTTGTGTGTAAACAGCAACCAGGTCAGTTGCCCAAATGTAGCCAGCCGCAGCCCAGATACGATCATGAGAAGAGGATTCCAGACCAGTCATTGCCACCACCAACGACCCCATCCCCTGGAATGAAGCTCTTTAACAGGTGAGTACCTCTGGGCTTCTGAAGCAGAGCTGGCAGTGGGAATCTGAACATACGGGTCCCCAGAGGTGATCCTAATCCCCTTCCTACAATAGCCACACACCAGGCCTGAGTCAGCAAGCTAAAGAATATTAACTGAGGCTGATTCTGTATTCAAGATAATCCGGACACCCAGCACTAAATGATCATATGAAGTCAAATTTTGGCTTGGATAGGTGGCTCTCCGACTTCATTAGATCCCCTGAGGAAGCTGTTATACCCCAGAGTTTGAGATGGGGTCAACATATTTGGATGTCTAGTAAGTCCTAGTTGATCCTGAGGCTCCTGGTCCGGGGCCCAGCCACACTTTGACCAATGTTTTAGACAATTAGTAGAGATCAGATATGTCGAAAGGAACCCAATTCACTATTTCATTAGCTGCCTGTAATTCTAAGTTTATCTTAACTGCCTAGAGAGTGAGCCTTTAAGGTTCAGACAGGCCAGTGTGAAGTTTCTGGAGTTGGGCCCAGACTACTTTGAACCGAGTTGGCATTATTAGCCTAGCATCCTTGGGGCTTGCCTCCCATCTCTGCCTGCCTGGCCCACCTACAGGGAGTCGGGTCCCCTGAAATGGCAGCTTACCTCGGGCTCAGCTTCAGAGGACAGTGCTCTCGTTAAGTCACACCTATTGGGTGCAGAAACAAAACATTTCTTAAAACTATTTTAGCTCTCAGGCATTCAGAACTTCCTGCATTTACTGTAGTATAAATGGATTTACAGGACAAATCCTATAGATGAGTATGAAATGGATTTAAAGCACAAAATGCCCTTGAAGTTGAAGAGATTATGGAACAAAAGGTTCAGCTGCAGAAACTTGTGAAAGGAGCAGCTGGGAGGGGCCCTTATTAGGTGCTGAGGGACCTTTCTGTGCAGCTGGCTGTCAGGACTTCCCACCAGCTTTCCTCAGGTGACACAGCAGGCCCCTTGGGTCGGCCTCTTTGACAGCTATGTGCTTTTCCCCCAGGAAATAAATACACATGGACCCGAAGATAGGATTTTGTGAGACACTCCAAGAGGGTTCCCTGAGTACCCTCTCCTTCCTCTGGCAGAGCCTGAATCTGTGTGCGCTGCCGATGTAGGAAAGCCATGAATTTTATAGGCGTGAACTTCATGCGCACTATCAAGGCAGCACTTTTTAGTCAAAAGCAATGATCATTTAGAGACAAAAAATGCTTTTGTTCTGAGCCAAATCAAACACGCTCAGCCCTAACAAAACAGCACAATAGCTGCCCTGCCATTTAGTTCCTTAGGGCGTAGCTGGTACACGGGAACTCTGCATAGCATCCTTAACCTGAACGGGAGTTGTACAGAGACCACCACCACTGGCACGGCTCCACCCTGTCAGTGCCCACCTTCAAGCCCACCTGAGACTTTGCAGCCCTCTCAAGGGAAGAGCCAAGTGAAAATAACTAGACGTGAAGCCCTCAATAAAGAAAACAGTTTATTTTAAAAAGCTCTATAATGTTCTCCCCTGTGTGCGGCACCTAAATGGAGCTACAGCTGAGTTAGTTAGTACCTGCACAGGGCTGAAGGCAGAGAAGGTGCAGGGTAAAAGCTGGGCTCCTGGCAGGTCGGCCTGACCTCATGTACTGTGTGCATTTTTAAGTAGATGGCAGGCAACCCAGCTCCTGGGGGTAAGAAAACGTCCAGTCCCCAAGATTCATGTTTTACTTTACTCACGAGTTAAGCAGAAGTCATTTGCCTCTGTCATGATTTCCAAACCACAAAGTTAAAGGGACGCTGGGGTAGCAGCACATAGGGCTCGAGTCCTGTGTCGTCAAGCCCACACACGTCATTTAATAATCTAAGTAATAAATGCCAACTCTTCCGCTCCAGGACTGGAGTCTCCAGGCTTTTGCATCACAATCCTGAATCACGTGAACCCTCCTCCTTCCTCAAGGATGAGGGTGGTGAGCCTGCAGGTGCTGTCGGTTGGATGCCGGCGGCCACAAGCTTCCCTCACATGTGAGCAAGGAAGCCTGACTCACAGACTCAGCTGCTCCTGCGTCAGCAAGGGTCAGCAGTGAGCACTCGGAGTGGGGGGCGCGGGGCCGCCTCCTGAGGCACAGTCCGGCCGGGCTCCAGGGTTCTGGTCAGACACCCAAGGCAGGGCCACTCCCCAGCCCTAGCTCTGGGCCAGCACAGTCCCCCGGTTTGTTTGCACCAGCTCACATGCTCTTAGCTGGGGTTCTGGCAGGTGAGGCTCAGCTAGAAATGGGTTGAACAGTGTTGCTAATTCTTCAGAGAAGTCCTGGAATAAGCAGAAAGATGACAGACCAGGCTGACACACAATTCTGGATGGTGAGTCCTTTCGACTAAAACTCAATCTCCAACATCTAGCCTTCGCTAACCGGTGAGTAGACCACCTTATTTTTTTTCCCAACTGCTTTCTATACTGAAATGGACATGACACTTTTTCCCCTTTGTCTTCTGGGATGCTCCAGTTCCAGCAGGGAGAAGGACATCTGACAGGAGGCACAGAACCATCTAGTGAATACTTACCACCAATAGATTTCATCCTGACAAACCCTAGAGGTACACACTATTCTGCCCTAGATCACAATACATTAAGTACCAGCTGAGATTCAAATCTAGGTTATTCTGATTTAAAAAAATCCATACTCACTGTCACACTGTTTTCCAGCTACCTCCCTTCTATCTTCCCTTCCTTCACTGGCACCCTCTTTCACACAATAGCTACTCAATGTGAAGAGGGCGCTCCAGAACAGCCACGCCATTTCAGGGTGGTCCTGAAGATACCTGATAACGTCCACCAAGCTCTGGGAAGATTCTAGGAATACCTGGGCCCCACCACTTGCCCCATTTCAGGAGAAAAGGGACAGAAGTATGAGGAGATGAGGACTCCTTACCTTTGGCCACTGGGTGTCACGGAGGCTGCCCAGGCAGGCCTCTATCTCTGTCCGTCCCATCAGCCCTTTCTCTACCAGCTCCCGGAGCAGGAACAGCAGGAGGTCCCACTGTAACACACACGGAGGGGGGTCAGCGTGGCTAAGACAGCACAGCGACCCTGACTGATCCAAAGGGCAGAGCTGAGGAGGAGACCTGGAGCCCACAGGAGTGTGTCAAGGAAACGAACACAGCACCAGAAAAAGTAGAGTAAAGGAAACACACAGCAATTGGCTGAGGGCAGGGTTGATAACAGGAGTGCAGGGAGCTACGGAGCCCGCCTGCCCAGCCCCATGGCTCTGGCTCACCTCCCTCGGCCTAGTGTCCGCCAGAAGCCCCAGGTTTCTTGGGCTCAGCAGCAGCTGCAGTGGAACCGGCACCTGAAAGTCGTCCTTCCACAGAGAAAGCAGCACGTGCAGGAGCCTGCGAGCCTGCCCCCTCTCCAGCCGGTGCTGCGCCGGGGGCCCAAGGACAGGGATCTGGTCTGCAACTTTGGACAAAGAACCAAATCTAGCTTTAAGAAATGGAGCTGGGGTCACCTCGCTGGCCCAAGGGAGGTAGAAAAGAACAAAGCTCTGCATTTCTAATCTTGCTTGTACCCAACCCTGAGATCTGGGGGATCTGGCAGGAGCGAGAGGTAATGAAAAAGGAGCCATACCAAGGAGGGATGCCAGCTCCACGGAGCACTTTGCCAGATGCTGCTCAGCAGGCGGGCACAGGAACTGTGGGGAAGAGGCAGGAAGACCCTGGACGTTAGCACCATCCTTACAGCAGCAGCCCTGAGCTGCTGCAGCTCTGGTGACGGGCACTGGACAAGGACACAAGCACAGCATCCTGTCAGGTCTCACCTGGCGACACTGCAGTGTCTGGCCCAGCTGGCCCAGGAGCTGCTCCAGATGCTCCGGAGAGACTCCCTCTTCAGGGTCCCGGGGCCCCACAGCCAGAGCAAGCACATCCTGGAGAGAGCACGGGTGGAAACAGAGTGAGACTTCATACCTGGTTGGGACCTAGGAGGCCACAGAGAACGTGGCCTGGGGCAGGGTTCAGCCAGTGGAAAGCAGCAGAAGGAATAGGAAGACAGGGCCCCTGGATGAAGCGGCCGGGCCAAGGTGCCTTAGACCTGGGGCTTGGGCATAGTTGGGAGAAGCCAACCAAGTGGACAGCAACAGAGGGAATGGATGGAGCAGGTCAGCTGAAGGACAACATGTGGCCTTGAGAGCTCGAGAGCGGTCACTCGTCTTGGGACAAAGCCAAACCCGGCCAATTAGGGAGCCTTATCATGAAAGCATTTAGAACGGTCCTGCTACATGTTGTATTTTCTATCCCCCATGCCCTCTGTTCATCTTCTCGGGAGAGTCTGGTTTCAGTAGAGAAAACCAGTAGCTAATGGCCACTTAGCCTTTTCTTCTCCCCACTATATACTCTCCATTTTTTGCCATTCCTTCTTAGTCCATAGTCCTAATCTTTGGCCCCACCAAACAGTAAATGGTTGAGGGTTTGTAGGTTTTAACATCTCTGCCCCAACTACTCAACTCTGCTGCTGTAGCACAAAAACAGCCCTAGACAATTCATCAGTGAGTAAGTGTGGCTGTGTTGAGCAATAAAACTTGATTTAGAAAAACCAGCAGGAGGCTGGATTTGGTCCATGG